TATAAATTTGTAGTATGTGAATTGGATGAAATTGATCAAGATTAATAGTTGTTGGAAGAGGAAGAATTCAAATTATGCATTTTCTTGGTTCTTGGGAATGTAATTGTTAGTGGAGTTTTAATTTCATTTCTAAACTTTGAGTTGAGGAATTCTTGTACAGTTAGGGACTGTTTGGTTGGGGTTAATAATCAAAGGGAAAGGGAATGAACATGCCCCATTTCCTTTGTTGCTTGCTGTTTGTTAGATCCTTTCTATCATTCCTTTTACCCATTTTTATTTTTGACTTCACCCCAATTGGCTCTACATTGATTCCCCACCCCCCTACACTTTTCCATTCCATTCCCTTAGCCACCCTTCCACCACCACCACACACATTAGCCACCCAGCCAACTACCATCGAACTTACCCCCACCACCCAACTACCACCTAACTGCCCTCCCCCGCCGTCGCCGCCCTCCGATAAGCCGTCGCAGCCCCTAAAAACCTTCCCCCACCACACAACCAACTCCTTTCTTCAACAATCCAGCCACCACCCGACTACCTCCACTGCCCAGCCACCCTCGCCGCCCTTCCCCTTCCCCTCTCCGGTCTTCCCCTTCCCCTCGCCGGCCAAAATCCCATCGTCTCCACCGAAAACCTTATCTACCCTAAAAACCCTAGAAACTACCTCTCCCTCCCTTATAAACTGCCGGCCACCCCTCCCACACCCTCGAAACCCTAGCAACAGGGAAAATCGAAAACCGCCGGCGATAGGTATTTGGGCGGCGAGGGGAAAGGGAAGGCCGGCGACGGGAAGGGGAAGGGCGGCCAGGGTGGCTGGGCAGTGGGTGGCGGCTGGATTGTTGAAGAAAGGAGTTGTTTGTGTGGTGGTTGGGCGGTGGTGTGGTGGTAGACTAGTGGCCTGCATTCCTTTTGTTTTTATTTAAAGCAAACAGCATACTACTTGGAATGGGTTTCATTCCATTCTCTCTGATTCCGTTTCTAGATTCCATTCCGATTCCACTGTGCGAACCAAACGACCCCTTAGTCAATTGAAATTTCGGCGATGGTTGTTGATTTAAAACTACATTTGTGTTATTTGCTCGGCATTGCGGCTGGTTGTGGATTTTAATCTATGTTTGTGATGTTTGGGAAACATTATTGTTTGTTCACTGTTGACAATAGTACTACCTCTATTTCATATCATTTGCAACATTTTATATCTCACAATAATACCCTTTGTTACAAATAATATGAAACGGAGGTAGTATAAAAATTGTAATGGTTAATACAGGAATTTAGGCAATTTAATGACTTGGCAATTGAGGTGGGATAGAATATTCTGTTCTAAAGATGACATTAGTGTTAAATTGTTAATGGATGGATATATGGTAGTTTTTCGTAGTGTAAAGACTTGGCAATTGAGGTTGGATAGGCCCTTTTTCCAATTTTCTTGATCAGGGGTTGGTACTTTTACGTCTCCTACTCATGTATTGGCAGTGATGTTCTGTATAAATGCCACCCTTATCAGATCGGCAAAGTAGGTGTTGATGTCAATTAAAACAAGTAGTAATAGATGATGGTGAATTAGAAGTTCTTGATGTTGGTGGTGATCTGTAGGTGAATATTGATGACTGTTGAAGTAAAATATTGAGCTATGACAAGGAGGTGATGGATGTTGCTGATGGTAGATCATATAAAGTTGGTTATCATATTCCGTTAGTAGATTGCATTGCCACGGGGAATTTGGTGAAGATCATGAATCTAATATTCTTTAATGAGGGTTAGGAGAACTTTCATCTACATAAGAAATTTGTAATGCTTGTAAGTCACTAACATACCGCTCCTAAATGCATAAGAGCTTTGTAAAAGGAAAGGATCTGGAACTTTTATTGTAGTTTTTATCTTGCAAATTGCTAAATAACTTTGAATCTAGTAATTCAAGAATTTCTTTCTTTCTTTTGTACAACTTCTGGAAAATTATTGCAAAAATAATAATGTACTAGTAGATTAGTTGTCAGGATTCTCAGTTTAGAAGATAAAAAAACATAGGTTTTTCCAGGTAAACAAGGATTCTCAATTTAAAAACATAGGTTTTCAATATTTCTAGTGTGAATATCCGAGAATGAGTTGTTGCTCCCTCTGAATTTTGTTTTTACTTCTTGGATGATTGTGTTTTAGCAAGTATGGATATCGAAGAAAGATTTGTTTATATGAGTGAAATCTGTTTGGGTCTCTATTGTAGCGTGAATGTCTTGTTAGAAATTCGGAATGTGTGAATTATTTAAGGCTAGGGTATTTTTTTTAAGGTTATACTACGTACTTGAGTTTAAAATCCAATATGAGAGTGGGATTTTTTTTTATTAGACTTGGTAAATGATCATATCATCTCGAACTAAGGACAGAGTAGGACAAAGAAGAAGAAAGTTCCTAGTCTCCCATCTCTTCTCCTGAGCTGACGATCTGGTTGGCCATTTGCGCTAGTAACATCCTAACCTCAAGTCCTCCTTTTGCTTCATGACTTCCCTTGTTCCTTAGGTTCAATCTGTACCAAAAATTATAACATTCTTTTAAGTCGATATGCTATCATGTGCTGACCAAAATTTATGTTATCATGTGCTGACCAAAATTTATGTTATCATGTGCTGACCAAAATTATCTATCTGTTTGTCCTGTAATTCTTTTCTTTTAATGGGTTTTCGTTGGCATGATCGTCTTCTGTCTCATGAATTTAATTATTAGCTATGTTCATTCCTGATGCTCTCCTCTTATAGTTGCTAATTACTTGATATATTATTGTTAAATTAATTAGTTTTTATGGAGTAGTCCTCAGAGTGGCTAGCAGGTACCTTCAAATGTCTATCATGTGTTCATGCCTCCTTAATTCTTATATTAATCACATTCACACGTTTGCATATGTCATGTAATCAAAGTCAGTTAATAAATGTGAACTGAAAGAGATTGGAAAGTGTTGGCATGAAATCGTACCTTATGTGGAATGTACTTTTGAGTAAAAAAGAAAAACAAGGTTTTGGTTACTAAGGATGAAAAACAGTTAATTTCATATCTTTGTCATAATGGAAAAAGTTTAGATGCTATATAAATTGGTCATGGAATAATTTTCCCTATTGAGTCCCTCAAGCCTATGTAACCAATCTTAATGGTTTTGCTGACAATCAATTTTGATGACATGGTTCTTTAATCATTCTAATTGGTGATGGGATTATGTTAAGTTGTTTCTAGAGAACCACCTGATATGATAGTTTTGCACTTGGACCTGTAAAATTATTGGTGACATTCGTCCTTAGCTTTTGTATGTAGTTTTCTATTTAGGTCTATTAGTTGCCGAAAAAGGGGTTAGTCTGATTGTGAAATATTTTGTATTTTTGGTGTTGCTTTCCTCTCCTATGCTATAAGAAATCTTGCCATGGTGCCTAATTAAAGGGTGGGTGTAGTTATGATATCTCACACAGTGTTCATTTCCCGTGATTTGGTGGACATCACTTGATCGATGTTGATTATCCTTAAACCCAATGTGATTTGTCTATACCTTTGTGAACTCAGCTAGCACTACTTGTATGGAGTACCATATTCTTTGAGCCTCTAATTCTTTTTAAAACATTATTAAGAAATTTGCTGGAATGTGTACGAGTTCCTTTGTGGTTATTTTTTAACTGCATACAATTCAAATTCTTGTGATATTTTGTTCTCCATTATCTTGTCAGTCATGTACCTTGTTCTCTTGTCTGATGATTTGTACCTTGACCTTTATAGAACAGGTATATGTATAAGTAGTTACATATAACAATACTGTGCAGTCACAGAAAAGGTTTTGAAAAAATGATAACAATACTCCAGTCACATATAAGTAGCTGTTTTCTGTTATCAGAACATTGCTCTGCAAGTAGGAACTTGGAAGTTGGAAGTGGCCTTCTCCCAAGTCCTAAGAGAGCGTTCACACTTGTATATATGTACATAATAACGTAATCGGTAAGATTCACCATGTACCAATAAGGTCGACGCTTACTTCTTAGTGGTAAGAATTAAGGGCTTGTGACTTGTGTATTACAGTATCATATTTTGAATCCTTCTCCTTAATTTGTAAATTTGTGGTTCATTCAATCATCAACTAATATGTTCATTGAGTTAGTCGTTTACAACGTTTTTACTTTTACACATTTTATTTATTCATAAGTATTATATTTTAGTCTCTTGTGATTTATAATACCATGTACTACTACCTCCGTCCATGATTATCTGCAACGATAGGACATCCTTCTCACACTTTATGTCAAATCGTTGCAGATAACAAGGACGGAGGTAGTATTATATGGAGTTTAATTTTCATATTTGATAGTTAATCTTTCTAATTATGAATGCTAGTACAGAGTAAAAAAATAGTATAGAGAGTTAAAATTAAAATTTAGAATTTACGATAATTATGGTTAATGTTTTTATAAAATGCAATAATATATGCTTGTATTTATCTAACCATTTGACTTTTTAACTATTTTTTTTAATAGAACTATTTAACTACGGAGTATTTAATTATCAACTAGGTAGTATATAACATCTTCATGCCATTCTACACCATTTATTTTAATAATGGAGTAACTTTTATTATTCTTTTGTAAAAAATGATTAGTTCATAGTATCCAACTATTCTATACCATTTTACATTATAAAAGGATACCAATTCTATTAATTTTTCAATAACATAATAATTTAAACAAAGTTAAGTTCCTCCAAAGTTATTAGTTATTTGTTATTTTTAAAGGGTTATTAGTTATTTATCGTACCAAAGTAAACATGCTCTACCCATTTGACGGAAATTGCCTAGCAACCAAATGAGTTATACTGGAGTAGTTTTTTTCAGACACGACAAAATTACCAAATCTACACGACAAAATTACCAAATCTTAGGTATTTCATACCGCGCATTAAAGTCTCCAATAAACATTAAAGAACACTCTAAATTACAGAATAGATAAGACACTTCGTAATTCTTTTTCAAACCCAAAAATTGGTTATGATCTTGATTAATAACAACAATTTCTATTATACACCCGACTATTTCTGCATATTTTTATTTGCTAGTCAAAAGACTCATAAACTCCTCAAAAACGTCCGAGCCCAACCATCGAAAATCCAGTTAACTCATTTAGTCTTCTCTTACATCCGCCATTGTTGATTCTCTCTCTCTTCCATCGACGCCATTTTCAAATCACCTCGAAAAGCTTGGGGAGAGAGACACACACAGAGAACGATGAGCGGTCACGATTCCAAGTACTTCTCCACTACGAAGAAGGGAGAAATCCCTGAACTCAAAGAAGAGCTCAATTCTCAGTATAAGGTTCTCTTTTTGCCTCATCTATTCATTCAATTTGTATTCTTACTTGTCACTTTCTACGTTTGATTTCTCGAATTTCTTAGTTTTCGTTTCCAATCGGCGGAAATGTGTGCAGATCTGCTCGTTTTTTGTTCGAAATCCGTGCTTGCTTTATCGATATTTGTATGATTGTTGAACAATTCGTTTAATTTTGGTTGCGTTGTTGTTGATTTTATGTGGATCAGACCTAGGGTTTGCTATTGATTAGTGACAATGTAACTGTAGGTTCAATTTTTGATTTATCGAATTATATCGGTTCATTTTTCCTGAAGTCAATTTTGGTATTTTGGTGGGATTCGAATGAAATTGTGTGTATTATGAGTTGCACTTATGGAAATTGGGAAGGTTGAATGAATTTTGTGTGCTGGTGTTGTATTCTAATTCAACTAGGATTTGCATAGTTAAGCTTTGTATTGAAAGGGAGGAAATGTAAATGCCTGTTAGCTGGAGCTATCATATATGGAGGATTCTTGACTTTCGTTGTGCGATTGGAATCAAGATAATGTTTGAGAGGTTGCCGCGATTTAGAGATTATGAGAAGATGGTTTCTTTTCTGCTGATTTGAGTCTATTGGAGTTTTAGACATTGAGGGAATATATTTCCTTCCAATTTACAGATGTATCATACTATGATGAATTTAGGGTAGCTCTTCTTTTTGTAGATATATTCCAACTTTGAAATTTCATCTACCTTGTGCCATGCTGTTGATTAGCACAGAAATACATCTTATAGATCTTAGTTTCTGATGCAACTATGATAGATTTTTTGTACTGTCAAGTGTGAACTATACCGAGTTTGATCAACTGAAAGTTGAGGAATAGTTTATCCAGGAACTAGAACAGGATAGATTATGTCATTTAAGCTATGAGGGATATAAGCATAGAATTTCATGGGATTATGGGCTTATTGACAAGATTCTAGGTTACTACATGTTATATGATGCTGGTGAATCTTAAATAATTGGTTAGTAGACTCGGAGTTTCATTCTTTGTTGTATATAAGGCTTCCTTCATCCCTGTTAATTCCAACTTCGGTCCATACCGTATAATTAGGGAACTGGCATGATGTCACTTAAACAGAGAAGTGTTAGGAAGCACAGGGTTGCTTCCGCATGTTCCTTAGGGTATGTCGCAGTTTGATCTCTATGCCCCCTCATTTTATAATCACATTCACCCAACCAATGATTTTACCAAAACAGCTATTTAGTTTTTTTGTAGTAATGCCATTCAATCCATCTATAAAGGGGTATCTAGGGAAATGCAAACATACAACCATAGGAGGGTATGATTACTAAATTTTTGATAAAGGAATCTGTCCCTGCTTTGAAGGGGAAGAAGACAGTGAAGGGAAATGAGCTGGAGAGATCGTTTTGGATAGATTTGCAACTGCTATACCTCAGATATTTTTTTGTAATTATTGACCTGGTGGAGACACGTGTCTCGGATTCGATGTTTAATGTTCTACGGACCCTTTTAAAGCGGACGAAGTCACTCAAGCTCTTAAACAAATGCACCCCACGAAAGCGCTGGTACCCGATGGTATGTGTGCTCTCTTTTACCATTAATTTTGGGATATTGTCGGTCCGGATATAATTGATTTAGTCTTGAATATTTTGAACAATGGGGGTGATATTAAGTATATTAATCAGATTTACACTGTATTGATTCCTAAGAATAAAGAGTGTGAGTCTCCTGCTGATTATAGACCTATTAGTTTGTGCAATGTGATTTATAAGATTGTGACAAAGGTGCTTGCGAATAGATTGAAAATTGTATGCCTGATATTATCCTTGAGTCTCAAAGTGGCTTTGTTCCATGACAATTAATTTTGTGAACTGCTAAACATCGCCCGCAAATCTCTACATAAAGCCCACAAATTTGAAGTGAAATGACACTTTTGCCCTCAAAGTAAAAAAACACACTTTCATCTTCTCTCTATTGTCATTTTCTCCCTCTAAAAAATTTGTTTAAAATGTCGAGGCGGCAAGGCAAGGAAGTGGCGGCACCGGTGGCGGCAGGAGGACAGTTTCGTGGTGGAAGGGTATATTTAATTTTTTTTTTATTTAAAAAAAAAATCGGGAGACGGTGGCGGCGTCTTGCCCAGACGCCACAGCCACCGTGGCGGCGCCTGGCAGGACGCCACTGCCACGGTGGCAGCGCCTAGGCAGGACGCCATCGTGGCAGTGGCGTCCTGCCAGGCGCCACCTCCTATTTTTTTTTATGCTTATTTTTGTTTTCTTTTTTCATTATTTTTTTCCAGTTTTTTTTTTTTTATTCTTGTAAATTTTTGTAAATTTTCTTTTTGGATTTTTTTTTGTTTATTTTTTAAATTATTATTATATTTTTTTTTTGTTTTGGGTGTTGTTTCGATTTTTTTGGTTTTTTTGTTTGTTGTTTATATTTTATTGTTTTTGTTTACATTTTTTTATTTTTGGTATATTTTTTTGTTTACGTTTATATTTTTTTTAACAAATTTGTTAATTTTTTTTATGTTTATATTTTTTTTCCGTTATTTGTATATTCTTTTATTTATTTAGTTTGTATTTACTTTTTTGAAGTTCATATTGTATGTTTTGGTGTTTTTTTTTGTTTCTGTGTGTATTTTCGACTTTGTTGAATTTTTTTCGTTATTTACATGGAGTTAGACATCGCATTTTGGACCTGGTGCGGGGAAGAGTATGGACATTATGAGAAGTACGACGGAGAGCTCGGGGCCCAGACACGTTAGATCCCGTGGTATTTCGGCCTCGGCTCGCAGAGAACGGGTGCACTATTTTGAGGATGATGAAGATGATGATGGTGATGAGGAGGAGGAGGAGGAGGAGGAGGTGGATACAGATGAGGTTATTGACGATCAGAGTGGACCATATGATGATTACGGTCCATCCAGTCGGAGGCTTGATGATATGTATGAGACGCGTAGGGTAGATGTGCGTAAGGGTAGAGATGGTAGATTTGTTAGTAGATTTGGCACATCTTCTGCGTCCACTGTGTTTGTGGTAAGCAGAAAACGGTCAAACTTCATTTGTATTTAATAAGTAATTTATTATTTTTTGAATAATTATATGATAAAACTTTCAAACTTCATTCATCTTATTTTTCATGATGAGAATATTTCATATTTACGTTTAAGCATTGGTTTTTTTTTTTTTTTTTTTTTGTACTTCCTTCTCCTCATAATTTTTCTTGTTTTTATTGTTCATAATTATTAATATTATATTATTATGAGATACAAATCATATAATAACTAAATGAGCAATTTGAAGTACAAACTTCTGGTTTTTTTCTTTTTCTTTTTAATTGTCAATTATGCTTTATTTTTTAAAGTGAGAAATTATTATTTGCTAATTTATTGAAGATGGATGAGCACATTTTTTTTTTTGCTCATTTGGCCAAAATGAGCAAATATACCCAAACTCGTCTTTTTATTCTTTATTCCAACTCTGGAACGGTAAATAAACAAAATTGAGATTTTATATTATTTGAACAGCAATAATAATTCCAAAACTTCAACCAAATGTAAGTTTTTAACTTTACAAACAAAAGTTTTTACTCATTTAAATAGAATTGAGCAAAGTTATATTTTTACATAACTAACTTAGGACAAATTTGCTTTAAGTCTAATGAGCAAATTTTACAATCGGTTGGGTTGTACGGTGTACGGTTGCCATAAATCTATATTTAGGCAAAGGAAATACAGTATTTTGTAATTATATTACAATTATAATTCTTTAAAAGAAAATGTTACTATTACAAACTCATTTCAAACTGACACTCCGCTTATCTGAAGATACTCTTTCAACCACTTTTCCTGTTTGGCTACGTTTAGCAGGGGCGCTCTTGGAGGTCGTGTCGTGCCTACTTAGAGACCGCTGCAAGATACGAATAGGGATCCCGCCCATATCAAAGTCTTCTTTCAAAGATTTTGACAAAAACCGTATTTCCGTATCTGACAGCACTGTTTTCCCCTTCACAAAGGCAACAAATGTTGGTGGTCGAGCCTTCACCTGTGTGAAGTACTTGATCTTTGGTTGTGCAGCCTGATCTTTCCAAGAGTGCCTGCTCATAACCTGGAAACAGAGAATTAACACCTTTAGGATCAGGAAATCAGTATGCTGGACCATCTGAACTCAATTCAATTTGCAGGCACTGCTTCTTAACCAAGAAGATACTTAGGCTTTCATATTTCCATCTGACCTCAAACAGAGAATTTGCACCCTGGCCATATTTTGACCGCTGGTTTATCTTCCTCAGACTAGGGAGCTACCAACGCTAACCTTTAGTAACAGAGTAAATCATGGACTTGTGGAATGTTATCAAAATCAGGACACCAGCAGGTCTTGCTTGGTCTTAGCCAATTTACTCACTAGCACATTTTGACCCTTGTGTCAAGTTGTCAAAAGAATTATCTATATGAACTTCGAAGGAAAATAGAAACATACCTTTCGCAACCAACGATTAAGCCGGGCTGTTGATAGCCGTAGACACCATTTCTCGTATGTGTCAGTAACCTGGCGCATGACTGCTATACGACCCTTTCCCTCCCGAGCAGAAACAAATATAACTGGTATTCCAGTTACCTGATGACGGGAGAGGGTTACTCAAATTTACAAAAATAAAAATAAGACATTTCATGATCTAAGTTAAGATTTTGGTGCATAACAACTCAACAAGTCAAGGAGTTAAACTTATTTAAAGTTCAAGTTATAAGGTATGACAATGTTACATCTGCATGTTCACCATAATCACCGTAAATCGATTTTAGTGAGTAATTTTCCAAGAAAGACGGGCAGATAAATTAAAATTAGGATTTCTTTAAACAGAGTGATCCATGAGACTAACTAACAAACTCCTTCCTTTCACTCTCACTTCCCCAAGTTAAAAAACATAGGAATAAATTCCAATTTGCTCAGATACAATTAGTTTTTTTTATTCCCACACTACTCAATTATAACTGAAGCTCGGAGAATCAACTCCTCATCCTCACTTAAATTCTTTCATACATTACATACCACACCCCTTGATGATTCAAGCACAAATAAGTTTTGCGGGATTTATTTTATCATTAGCGCATGGAAGAGAATAGAGCAAACTCATCAAACAAGCTTATGTTGAAAACTTGAAACACTATCAAAAGTTTTAAGTAAGCCGAGCCTTGGCAGTAAAGCTATATAATTTAAGCAAGCTACTTGAGCCTAGGCAGTAAAGCTATATAATTTAAGCAAGCTACTTGAGCCTTGACAGTAAGCTATAGCAAAACACTATCACAATCTCCTGCCAAGGCTCAAGTAAGTTATAGAATGAAAGTTTTAAAAAGCAAACCTGTGGTATAAGTTTCTGAATCTCTTCAGGAACAGCTTTAATGAAGTCTTCATATAACTTAGACTTCTGTTTTCCTTTCAGAAGATCCATCTTGTTTACGATTATTATTAAACCACGTCCTTCTTCCACTGCCTGTCTAGCTATAACTATTTCAGCATGCTTCATGCTCCTCTTAGTCTTTGCAACCTAATAGCCAAAATGAGGAGACAACAACAACCAAAATTCATTATGGTATACTAATAAGAAGAGGAAGCAATCAAATCTATGTAAAGGAAGGCATGATTTGAGAGAGAGAGAGAGAGAGAGACCCCAAATCATTTTCTTGAATACCTAATGGGTGGAGAGAGAGAGAGAAGGCTGGCTTCATGCCAGATTGGGAGGCTCTATTGCCTCTATTACAACAGTTGCTCACACAGCTAGAAGGAACTAAGTCTAAAAGATATCATGCAATCAGCATGCTAGGAATTTGATGCAGAAGCTGCATACTTTAAGAGCTTTTAGCACTATTACTACATACTAGTATATGTCTTACTTTTTATTTATTGTTTCCTCTGTTACAGTTTCACACCCTTTTTTTTCAAATTGTTTGAACTTCTAATCTTACAGTTCCTCACACTTTTTTCTAGCACTATTACTACATATATATCTTACTTTTATGAATTGTTTCCTCTGCTATTCTCTGATCCCCGTGATTGTTTTGATTCAAAAATAGCCTTTCTCATATAGTTGCAGGCAATGATGCACGGGCCAACAACCTCTCCAAACACCCACCCAAAAAGGTTGGAGTTGTCTCACTTTTTGACGAAGTCAATGGGTTAGCAAGAAGTTGCTGATGAGAACAAGTAATGAAAATTACAAACCATCTCTTTGTTACCAAAAATTAATAGTAAAATTAATCAATGAAAATGTTCTTCTCCATATTAATGCTACGTAGCTTAAACAGTAGAGTTCATCAAGAGTTCTTTACGATGAGTCATATCATTAAAACTCAAGGACAAGGTCTGTCCCATAGCAATTTGGCCAATATCCTCCATGGAGCAGGGAGCTGGCCAGTTAAGCTAGCTCAAGCCCATAAATTATGGTAGCAATTAGATCAGCTGTTTTCTATTGAGCAAAGAGTTGGCAAGTTAAAGAAGATCAATCCCACAGCATTATTGTGGCAATTCAAAGAAGAGGATTCATTGTGGATGTGTAAAGATACAAGAAAAGATGAGATTAAAGATGAAACTATGATAGTAACAAGGAGTGGAGTGGGGGTAACTTCAAAGGACTTGAAAATTGAGATGACCAATTGTTTCGGCATACTCACACCAATCAGGAAAATAAAGTTTGGTGGTTGAAGATCAACAAGTCATTCATAGCCCCAGAGAATCATAAACGGTGAGGTGAAATAATTCTTTCCCAGACAAGGTACTTATTTTACAGCGTCGCCTTTTCTCTGCCAGCTCTATAACACAACAATTTAATACTAACTGATGTGTTAATCCTAGAGTATGAAAAAATGACTCTCTGTAGTATGTTAAGATCCTCTCACAGGACAGCAAAAAAATGGTGTAGCTTGAAGAAGAATTGGAATGAGAATTTAAGGCAAATAATGGCTTTGCTGAAGCTTACAGATGATACTATTGCATTAGCATTACTTCCAATAGGATCAGTGGCAATTAAAAAATCGGCTACTTGCTCCTTGCAGGAGATTTCTCGTTTCATTTTAACCCCTCAAAATGAATGTTTTGCTTCTTAGAAATCGATGCGATTTTTGAATTCTATATTTATATAAATTCTTTCATTCTGATTCAAAGAAAAACAAAATCTAATCATTCGTCTAAATAATCAGCCTTTTGTAATCAACAATTCTAAGGATTTTGAATACCCAAGGATAAGGCTGCGTAAATTGCTACAGACGGAATCTGGACCTATTCAGACACTGTCTTCTCAAAATTCATACAGGTTGGTTGTAGTTGCGGTTCAAAATACCTCTTTGGCTTTTTAGCTTATTTATGGTATGGTTAAACATATTTGATTTTAATATTATTTTTATGTAAACTGTATTATATAAAAAAAATGGATTTTGTCAACCATAAACACATAGCACTGTAAGAGAGAATCAGTGGCTCACCTCCTCTCCATCAAGAACCAATGCAATTACATGAGCCCTCATAAGATTTTTCCTGGTCTGCATAATGCTCAATGAAGCAGGGCCTTTCTCTTTTGTCCTCTCCAACCACCCAGCAGTGTCAACCTGAAGATAGTAAAAAAAAACATTCACTTTTTTGGTGGATATCATAAATCAGAAGTCTGCTAATTTGACATTTCATGCAATGCATTTTGGAACATGCAGGAGTGCGTGCGATAGTACCAAACATTTTTTTTTTAGGAAATAGTACCAAACATTTACGGAGGAGAAAGATTATATTTGTATGTATTAAATTACTTTGAGAAATTAAAATATTGCTTTAGTAGAGCCATTTTAATTAGGAATTTATAATTTCCTGAACTCCTGAAGTATGTTCGTTCTGTGCATATTTAATTATTTATTCTAAAAGCAGTGTCTAAAGGCATCAAATAAAAAGTCTTAGCAGCTAAACATGGTTAAATGACTGAATAACTGTCCTTGAGATTTAAGATACATGATGGAGGCTTCAGAAATGGTAAGACAAAACAAAAAATAACGAACAGACTGTCCTTGATCTCTCTGTGACAGTACTATTACACTACTACAATATAAAGTGTATCCAGAGTAAAATTGAGAGTATATAGAGCAGGCTATTAGGATAACTAATTGTGAATGTATAATTAGAGTAGATCAAAATAAAACTGGATCACAGAAACATCTCAACTCTCAATGAAGGACCATCCACAAAATACATAACCCAACTACTTATGAAAACGCTCTGAGTGCATAATCAGACAAAGTTATGGAGGAAGCTGGGTCAAAATTAAACACTGATAAAAGGCCAGCCACAGAGTGACCAATACAGCTTCCTCTAACACGTGTCAACAGAAGAAATTTAGACTACATAAAAAAACATATGATGAAATGAGCTAATAAATACATATCGAGACTTTATGAAGCTGCACTGTAAACATGTGCTTATATTGTTGGTAAGCATGTATAGGGATATTGTGCAAAGACTTTATGGAACCAAATTTTTATGTGTACAGGTGCAGGGTTTGATATTTTTACGTTTCTTAAGAATATATGGAACCATAAATTACAAGAAATAAAACAACCGAGTTTGAGAACAGTAAACCATAAAAGAGACTTGGTCCCTAACTCCTTATGACCCAAGCACTCAGCAAAAGCTGCAAAATACAACAAATACAGCCGGAAACAAGCTATGAAGAACCAGGGAGCAACTTAATCACCAGAGCAGATGCCACTTGATTAGGCATCTTTAGAGCACTGTGGTACTGCATTATGGATCTTCATCACTTCAATCATGGCAATGGTTAACCCAGAAAGATTATGGGCAACTAGATTAGCTTCTCTGCTAATGTTCAGAATAAAAATCTTATAATTCATCTTGATGTAGGAGCACACATCAGAAAAATGACTGCAAATTTGAAATTCTAGATAGCTACTACAAGAGGGGGGGGGGGTGAATTGTAGTATGGGTGGATTGGCAAACTTGACTAATGAATGTTTTTAAGTCTTACTTAAATGAAAGGTTCACGCAACAAGGATCGTTCCGGAGTAGGAACACTAAATCAAGAATGCGGAGTAGCATTCACACAAGTACAACGTGCAAACCCAGATTCTAGATTATTTGTAAGTACTTAGAATATAAGTTGGCTTTTGAAACTCAGTGAGGAGCGTTATTATAAAGGTTAAAATAAATAACGTTCAATTGGAATATAAAACTGGTTTTGAAGGAATGTGATAAATAATGTTTTAATAAGGTTGTTTAATAATAAAAAGGATATTTTATATTATTGTTTTATAAATAAATTAATCAAATTTATTTATTTATTAAATTATCTTTTTAAACAAAAAATATCTTATGAATAAAATAAACTAACCGGTTTTATCATGGCTAAAATATAGGATTTTTGTTGAGGTAGTTGTGGATTGGTGAGCAAGCTTAGGAAGCTTCCCACGTTCACCACTTGTCATGATACTCCACAACATGTTAACATGTGTTAGTGGGAGTGATGGCATGCGTACATGCATATGATGGGAAGCTAATGATTAAGCTGTCACTCTATAAATACATGCAATTGATCTCAGCAAAAAACACACTTCTTGAGCATTATTATTCCAGTGAGCAAATTATCTAATAGCGAGAGAGAAATCCTAAAATACTTCTTATATTCTCTTGTACGTTAGGTCTTGTATTACTTACTGTAAATGGGACTTTGTGAGAGTTATATTTTGTGAGGTGAAGAAAGTTTCATAGTTGAAACTTTTGAGAGAGTTGGGAACAAGTTCCATTCTTGTGGAACTTAGTCAGGGTTGATTATTCACTTTGTAAAAGAGTTTGATTTACATAGTGGAAATTTCAAAAAGCCCATATCATTTCTCTCTATTGTTTTACATTGTCTTAATTCCGCAATAAGTTTACTACTTCACCCATACTACAATTCACCCCCCCCTCTTGTAGTAGCTATCTAGAATTTCAAAATTCATGACAGAGATGAGGTTCTGCATTTTCCAGCATCATTATAATTGCGAATGCATCCATTTCCACCTCCTGCTCTATGACATAGAAGTACTAAGCAAGCACTATTCTATCCCACATCATATATAATTAATGACCAATGAAGTAATAATAAAAGCAGGGTTTGATATTTGTGACAATAGCTATATACACTCTATTAGAAGATGCTAAGACGTCCTTGGAGAACAAAAATGTCCCTCAACACAATTATTTCACACACATAAGCATAGAGACAATCTCTCTAATTTCTTCTTCAAAGATGATATGTAAATAAAATTAAAAGCATATCAGGAATGAAGATATGGACCAGATGTGCATAAGAACATCAGAAGAGGATGAGTGAACTTATCAAGGACCAAGGGTCTCAGATTGCATCATATATTTTAAAGGACTTCCATAAATTACCACCGAGTCGCAAACACAAAGGATGTGAAAGCAAGCTTGCAGACCAATCAGATATTTCATTTTATCTATATCAACTATAGAACAATTTTATGTCCAAGGCCCATATGAGAAGAGAGCAACGCAGAGGACACAAATTGATATTTTATCATAAAGAAGACATGGGCAAACAATAGTTAATTGATTATAAACAGCTACAACAAAAAATATTTCTTTGATCATGCTGCTATTGTTTATATTTTAATAAGTATCACCATGAATTACCAGAATAAAAAATAAAAGGAGAGAACAAGAAGCACTCTACCATATATACTGTTCTGTGATCATACTGAAACTGAGCTCGAATAGAATCTCTTGTCAAACCAGCTTCCGGCCCCACCAGAACACGTTCTTCTTGTAATAATGTATTCAGTAAGGTTGACTTTCCAACATTGGGCCGCCCAACAATTGCCAGCTGAAGAGGTAACTTAGATTCTTCAGGCTCAGGAGAACTTTCCAGAGTAGCTTCATCTAAGAATATAGTGATATTAAATCCAAGTGTGATGAGATCAAGCAAAAACAAGCTTGTTAAACGTGGTAAAGAGAATTAAAATTAGACAGTAACTCAGTACAGTAAGCAAATCAATATTTTCGTTAGAGATGGAAAAGAAATATCACAACAACACACCAGAAAATTCACATATTCTTAGTCACAAACAGGAAAAAAAAAAAAAAAAAAAATCCAAAGGGAGATAAATGTGTAAAAAAACATGCATGTGCACCTCAATGTGAACATGAAATCATGCATCCCCATGTGCATCAGAGACACTTTTTTTTTTAATAACCGGAGGGATAATATTAATAAAAATCAAAATACAACTTGCTTCCAAAGTTCAAAGAGAAAGCTGAAGGCCAAGCCATAGGACCTGGGTAGTTCTGATAACCTAAAGAAAACATAGGTAACAGGCTACCTTTTCCAAAATAAAGCCTACTAATGTCTATCAGAGACACAAAACTGAGGAAGATAGCTAAACCGGTGCTATGAATCAACATAGCTTAAAAGCTATTAAAGGCAAAAGTTAAAGAAAAGAAAATGGTTGAATAATAATCATAAACTGGAAATTACAGCAAATGTCAAATGTGCATGATATTTAACTCATTATTCTAACATACTATTAGTTAGTAGCATGGCTAGCCGACAGATGTTGAAATAAATGAACATTTTATTGCAAGGGCAGCATCTTCAAATGCTGCTCAAAAGCTTGTTACAATCGTCCAGCTTTTTCCAAGTTTCTGTATTTGTTCCTTTCCTTTTGCACAATGTGCAGATTGACAACACTGTTGGCAAACAAGACAAGGCAAAAACATGGAGCAGAACAGCCATGTAGTCCATAAACCCATCCTCCTAATTCTTAAGCACAAACAATTTCTTACTGTAGCATATTAGGATTTATTCAATGGGAACTTAACAAAATTAACTTGTCCACATCGTTTCCCCTTCTCAGTAGTTCTACAATTGTATTCCTTCCTCCTTTTGCATCTTTCTTACCTTTCCCAATCACTAATGTTTTTCTATAACAATAACTGATTTTTTTCTTTTGAGAAGGGGAAGGGGTAGATAAGGGGAAGCTGTTGTTGCAAACTCAATCAGTTAAATTAGCACACATACAGACATACTGTGTAATTATATAAAGACAGCTGAAGCCATTTTGGAATTATAAGAATGTTCCTATGATGTGTAACAGCCAAAAGGTACACTAAGGAAGTGAGGAGCCAACTACATGTTTTTATGGAAAGAACTTATGCCACAATGCCACAAATATTTAGAGTCAGCAACGACTATAAATGATTAAAATATGCAGTCTTCAAGGGCATTTTTTAGGAAGGTCAAAAATCACATACCATTTATGATTTGGAGTATATGCTCCTCCAGCAAGGGCTTTAGAGCACCATAAAGTTCTGACATGCCCAATCCAGTCTCTGCAGATATAGCAATAGGGTCACCAAAACCTAATCTATATGCTTCACCAGCAGCTGCTGCAAGTGACCCATCTGACTCATCTAGAGATTCAGATTTATTCATCACCAAAACAATTTTAATTCCAGGTGCATGCTTACGCAGCCACTTCCCAACCTGTAAATCCATGGATTGCAAGCCATCTCTACATGATTAACAGAGGGAGATATCAATATATACATGATCTGTCACTTGTTGTCAAATAACAAATAAAGTGTCAAAAGATAGGGAGTAACTAGCAGGCAAAGGGATCAAAACCATCTTTCACACAAAGCTCCTTGATTTTATAATACCTTTGAATATCATGCTCTGTAATTTCTTAAAATTTCTAGTGTTTATAACTTAAAAAGTCTCCAAAAGTTAACCTTAATGCACTTTTCTGTTACAAAATCATTGCTAATTTCTCAAGTCTGTTCCAGCAATTAAATTTTCCATCACATTTTCTGCTTTAAGATAGGACCCACAAGTCATTCTGCCCCACACCAAAGAAATAGCACATACCTTGCAGCAATCAAGAAGATGGCAAACTGGGATCCCGACAACACATTGGCTGTCATATCTGCAGTTCGTCCAAGGATAGACCCTGAGGTTGCCGCCACTTCTAAGCCAGCTGAATCAAGTACCTGAAACCGCAAATCACCCAGTTTGGCAATCCCATCCCGTATATCACGAGTAACATGATCAGCAGGAGTGTTATATACAAGTGCCTCTCTCCGCTGAATTAAACTACAATGACAACACAGGCATTAACATAGACAATCAATATCACTAGTCACTCAACACAACTATCACTAAAGATTTCGGACTAAACCAAAACAGTGTACCGGTTAAAGAGGGCAGATTTGCCCACATTTGGCCGCCCCACAATAATAACAGTAGGAAGCAATTCCTTATCAACCTGGGTAAAGTCCACCAGCTTCTTGCTCAAACTCTTGGTTTTCACTTCTTCAACAAGATTCTCCTCAGCAAGCTCGGATGCATTACAGTCCAAATCTGACTTTTCAGATATGGAAGTGCTAGACCCCGGCAAACTACAAAAACCGGCAATTCTCATGCACTGGCACCTTAAAGGCGAGCTAAGTCCTAATCCAACACAACCTCCTACTCCTACTCTACCTTTTCCATGTACCCAATTACCTAATAATGAACCTGAAATTTCAAAATTTATAACAAATTTTGAGTTCTAACTTACCAAAACAAACCATTTACTCAAGCAATACTCGAAATATATGCAATCAAATCAAAAATTCCAATTTCTCTAGAACTACAACAATCATTCTCCGATAATATCTTAACATAAAACAATGGAAATCACATAAATTCAAGTAAACCAACATTAATATAAATAAAACAAAACAACAAACTAACATAATAATAGAAAAGACATAAAATATTGAATTGGGTATTACCAAAAATCGATGTTGGGGATGAATTAAGAACATTTCCAACATTGCAAAGGTAATTTGAAACTGGGTTATCAACCAATACACTAATACTTCTGCTGTGAATTAAAACCTGAGAACTTGTTTGGTAAAGAAAACCTAAAAATGGGTGTCTCCTTTTTCCAATAGAAATTGCACGAATCCATGAATTCGGCATCACAGAGCTTTCTTATTGTACTGTAAAATCAAAACTAGCTCTTGGGGTTCTTTTGAAGTGAATTAAGCTTGAAAATGATTTGTTGTTTTGTTCACTATTTTCTACCAATGGCATTTGCAATAACATTGATGAGAGTGAGACTGCATAAATTTGAGTTCAACTTAGCTAATTACTACTTCCTAGGAGCAGGGATTGAAACTTGGGAGAATTTGAGACCGAGGAGTGCGAGGACTTGTTAATTTGTTATGGCCCTTATGGGGTTTTTGTTAGAGCTAGGCAAAGGTGGGCAGCAGGCCGGGCCGTGCTTGGCGGGCCAGCCATGGCGACAGGCCGTACCTCCATTTCCACCAGGCCAGCCCGCGGCACGGCACGGTCACGTGCCGGGCGTGCCGTGCCGGCCAGCCAGGCATAGAGGTGGCCAGTGGGCCGGGTTGGACCCAGCCCACCCTAACTCGCACGGCTGGTGGGTCACGTGGGTCCGACCCGGTTTCAATCCGGCACAGCTCGGATTTAATCCGGGTTGTGTCGTGGGTCCAAAATTTTCGACACAACCCATTTCAACCCAGCTCAGTTTAACCCGTTTGATTCGACCCAAATCGCACAACCCGTTTTGACTCATTTAATTCGACACACCTAGCCCGTGAACCCACCTAACCCGACCCACCTGGCACAACCCAGCCCGCACGGCCCACCCGCACGAATGACCCACCCAACCCGCACGAGCCAACCCACCTAACCCGCACGCATGACCCACCCAACCCGCACGCATGACCCACCCAACCCGCACGGCCGGCACAACCCGCACGGCCCGCACAGCCCGCACAATTCGCACGACCCGCACGGCCCGCACGGCCTAACATCCATTTTAAAAAAAAAACGGCTAGTTTTTTGTATCTAACGGCTAGTTTTTTGTATCTAACGGCTAGTTTTTTAAGTGTATGATCATCCATTCTATTTTTCCTATAAATACCAATTCCATTTCACTCAAATTTCCACACAAATTCAAGCTTTCTTTCTCTCTTACTTAAAAATTCTTATTGTTCTCAAATTCTCAAGTGTTATATAGAGTTATATTTTTGTTAAAAAAAATCTCCTTAATATTATTATTAGTATTCTTAAGATTCTAAAAAAAAAAAGTTCTTCTCCATATTATAATTAGTAATCATACAAAAAAAAAATGAGCTCAAGAGGAGGAATGGGAAGGAGTCAAAGTGGTGGTCGAAGTGGTAGCCAAAGGAGTGGTGGTGCAAATTTTTCGTATGAAATTAATACGGAAAATTTAAACCAATTTGTCAATGAATATGGAGATTATGGTTTAGGAGATAGGCAAAATATTCAAACGTCTCCACCACAACATTTCTCCCACGAGTCCCACCAATCATCAAGTTCAACTATGCCACCTCCATCGCAACCAACATCTCAACCTTCATCTCAAGGTAATTTCTAATTAAATTTTTATTGTTATGAATATTTAAAAAAACTATTATTAATGATTATAAAGTTAGTTTAGTTTCCAATTTTCTATGATTTACAATTAGTTAATTACCATGAAAAATGCGTTTAAATAAGTATAATTAAAATATTTAAAATTTAAAAGCTTATTTTCATGAATAGCATTTAAAAATTAATTTTAATAATTTGATTTATGAAAGGTGGTGGCGGTGAAAGTAGAGGTCGAGCACATTTTTCTTGGGTGTGGAAACATTTTGAACGAGTTGAGGTCACACCCCCGGGATGGCAACCTGGTCAACCAAAGAGGTTCACGTGTACATGCCTAGTTTGCAAGGCGCTAGGTGCAAATGTCAAGTCATATAATTGGAAAACGGGAGATGGAACCGGAACCTTGAGTCGGCATTTGCAAAATAAACACGACTTGTTCGAAAATGGCCCCCGTCCTTCGGGGGGTGGCGTCCAAACACAATTGGGTGGATACATGAACCAACCCGGCGGAGGTACACCTTTCATTTATAATAAAGATAGAATGATTGATGAAATGAGTACTTTAGTTATTGCTAATGAATACCCTTTTAGTTACGGTGAAAATGCAAACGTTGAGCATTTTAATAAAGTTGCATTACAACCTGCATTTACTCGTGTCCCCCGAAATACCCTAAGACGTTATACACAAACTTCTTATTATAAGTATAGGAGTGGTTTGATTGAATTATTTCGTACTTTTGATGGTCGTGTTAGTTTTACAAGTGATACATGGACTTCTAGTTTTGGCGAACCTTTTCTTTGCATTACTGCTCATTGGGTGGATGATGATTGGTTTATTCAAAAACGTATACTATGTTTTCAAGCTATGGAAGAAAGGCATACCGGTTTTAACATCAAAGTTCGTATTTTGGATTGTTTAAAAGAATTTCACTTGAATAATAAAGTTTTTTCTTTGTCTCTTGATAATGCAACTGCAAACACAAAGTGTATTGACTATTTGAAAAATGACTCCGAGTTGAATTTGTTGTTGGGTGGTAGTCTCTTGCATGTTAGATGTTGTGCTCATATTTTGAATTTGTCTGTTCAAGAGGGTCTCGCTGAGTTGCAACCATTGCTAAACCCAATTAGAACAGTTATAAAATGGATTAGGATTACTCAGTCAGTTAGAAGAAAGTACATAGCTATGTGTAAAGAGAGAGGTCTTAAGAAAAGACAATGGTCTATTGATACCCCTACCCGTTGGAATTCTACTTTCAAGTTGTTGAGTGATGCTATAAAGTATCGTGATATTTTGACCCAACTTTACAATGAGACTCGTGTTGATCCTACTGAGTTAATAACCGAAAGTCATTGGACTAATGCTTCTTTTGTTCGTGATGTTTTAAATGCTTTTGATAGTGCAACTCATATTTTCTCTTATATTTATGAGCCTAACGTTCATTTAGTCATAATTGAGTGTGTTAAAGTTGTTCACACCATCGAAGAGCATATGAAGATTGATGGACTTCGTCCCGTTCTTGATAGCATGAAACGTAAGTGGCATACTTATTTTAGTGAATTTCCAATCATTTATGGAATTGCTGCTATTCTTGACCCCGGTGTCAAAGCTGAAGGTTTGGAAAATCTTTTAGAATTTTATTATACAAGTTTAAGTATCGATTATGATGTTAGTGAATATATTAACAAATGCAAATCTGTTTTGGGAGACCTTTATGATCATTATGCATCTATTTATGGTTTTGATTTGGCAACACCAACTACTACTAGCACTTCCGATTCTAGATTTGGTTTTCTTGATAAAGTTATGAAAAAAAAACACAAAGCATCTACATCATTCTCATCATCATCTTCTTCAACACTTGCTATTAATGATTATTTGTCATATCAACATGAGACCAACAACAACTTTCAAATTATAAAATGGTGGCAAGAACATAAAAAAAGTTTTCCTATATTGGCGAGAATTGCAAAAGATATACTTGCAGTTCCCGCTTCATCTGTTGCTTCCGAGTCTGCTTTTAGTGCAGGTAGAAGAGTGTTAGATGAAAAAAGATCTCGCTTAACTCCGGAAAGCATTCAAATTTGTGTTTGTAAGAAAGATTGGGATCAAGCTGAAAGAAGAACTCAAGGTTTAAAGGAAGACGAAGACGATGAAGATGATCCTGTGATGATATTGGAGTCGTCAACGGATGATGCAGCTTCCGGGGATGATGATGCAACAAACATGGGTGGCTAGAAAAGTCTAAATCAGGTACGCTAAGAACTACGTGGGCTTTGATTCTTTCGGGATACGTAGGCAACTTATTTTTCGAAAATTACAATTTAATTGCAAAATTAAATTTTAGTTTTCTAAAGATAGGTCCAAGCCCCCCCCCAAATTTCAAAAGAAGTACAATATAAGAACTACGCTGGCTTTGATTCCTTATTTTATAATATAAGGATACGTAGGCATCTTAATTAAGAGCAAGCCATCAAATTGTTAATTTTGTAAAAATTAAAACACCACACAACCCACCCGACCCTAACCCACGAACCCACCCGACCCTAACCCACAAACCCACCCGACCCTAACCCACCTAACCCACTAACCCACCCGACCCTAACCCACTAACCCACCCGACCCTAACCCACAAACCCACCCGACCCTAACCCACTAACCCACCCTTCGACCCACCCTAACTCACTAACCCACCTTGACCCGTCTAACCCACGAACCTAGCTCGACCCACCCATGACCCGTCTAACCCACAAACCCAGCTCGACCCACCCACGATCCGTCTAACCCACAAACCCAGCTCGACCCACCCACGACTCGTCTAACCCACGAACCTAACCCTGGTGTGTCCAACTTCTCCGACCCAACCCACGACCCGGCCCACCCTACCCTACGTGTGTCGTGCCGTGTGTCATGAAACCCCAACCCGCGACCCACCTAACCCTAACCCAACTTGCACGACTCGCACGGTGGACACCTCTGGCCCAGGCACGTTTTTCAGTGTTTTTTTCTTTTTTTATTTTCTTAATAAAAACAACACATTATTTTTTTTATAATTAACTAATTAAGTTTACTTCTTATTATTATAAATTAATTAATTAAATTTATTATTATTTTATTATTATACTTGTTATTATTATAATTTATTTATTTAATTACTTATTATACTTGTTATTATAATTTATTATTTTTACACTTGTTATTAATTATAAATATTACTTATTATTATTATAATTTATAATTAAGTTTATTATTATACTTGTTATTACTTATTAATATTATAATTTATTTATTTAATTATTATACTTGTGATTATAATTTATTATTTTATTATTATAATTGTTATTACTTCTTATTATTAGAACTTATATTTACTATAGTTATAATTATTTTTTTAATAGTTATAATTTATTATAATTATAGTTATAATTTATTATACTTTTTATTTATTATAGATAATTAGTTATTAACTTATTTTGTTTAATTACTTTTTCTTTTTTTATCGGCGAAGATGAAAATTTCAAATCTTAACGGCTAAAAAAAAGTGTAAATTGGACTTTGATTCTTTGAATGTGATTAATGCATACTTCATATTATTATTATTACTTGAAATATTACAAATAAATACATATTTCTTAACGTTGAAAGATATAAATTTCAAAGAAAAAAAAAACTCAAGTATAAATGTTTGATATTAATCTAATAAGTAATAATGATAAAATTCGTACAATGATAATGATTTCATACAAGGATATTATACAAAAATTGTCTATAATTAGAAGTATGTAGTCTAATTATAGTTCATCATCTGTTCTTCTTCTTCTTCTTCTTCTTCTTCTTCTTCTTCTTCTTCTTCTTCTTCTTCTTCTTCTTCTTCTTCTTCTTCTTCTTCTTCTTCTTCTTCTTCGTCTTCGCATTTAAGGTCATCGACTAGTTGAATACATTGGGAACTAGCTGAACTCGAACGG